TTTTGCTGTCTTTAAGACAAAGCTCTGTCCACGGTTTATCGAACATTTTAAGGTCGTGTTCAAGCGAGGCCTTGCATATAAACCGGTGTTTTGTGTGTGCTTGCTTAAGGCGTACCGAGATCCGACGCAAATGAACGTTTCCGCAATGGCGCTAGCGGCGCTCAAAGGCGCTTGACCACTCGGAAGCTGAACCAGCAACTATTTCTGAGCACGGAGTGCAACAATTTCCGTTTCTAGAGGCGCAAGGCGCCCCAACGTCGCACGAAGTGACGTATTCGTCTGTTCGACGGCTAGGAGCCGCTCCAACAGAGTGCAATAATTTTCAGTCGGTGCACAAATTGTTCCAGGCTATCGGGGTCTTTCGCACAGCGATAGACGACCTCGGAAAGATGCCCGGAGGGATGCCGATGACGACGAACTTTGTCCTCCAAAGCTCAAAGAACTTCACAATTCACTGGACGGCGATTGACCAAGTCGTTATCGTCCGCCGTCGACTCTTATCAATGAGAATGGTGGCGTCCACTACCACGTGGAACGCCTTGTGGATCGACGTTGTCGACAGGGCCGAATCCAATATCTTGTGAAGTGGCTGGGATACCCAAACTTCGAGAACTCGTAGGAGGTTCAGGTAGCACTTCGGCAAACCAGCAAAACTCCACAGACGTCGTGGACGCTTATGATCGGAAGGATCATGACGCTTTGAGTCGTCGTGCGCTCCGCGCTTCTCGGCAGTAGCCCGGGAAGTTGGAGGGCCATAAGCTGAGATCAAGCTATGATTCTGAGCTGCTGTGGTCGTAGCCCGCCCGTGTGAGAGACCACAGGGCTCACGGGAACGTTATGGATTGTTCCATATTTTGCAGGACGACAATACGCCAGAAGTCGGCGTTGCACCTTGAGTTTGGCAAACTCAAATCTAAGATGGCGCTCAACGTGCACGACCACTTCCTTGCGGCTTCTCTGTAAGGTAGACAGCGATTAAAGTGTTCGGTGCTGCTGCATCCATCGATCAACGAGATAATCGTCATCTGCAGCGGTTTTGCGAGGGGCGAGCACTATAGGAATGGTCCGCATTGCGATTAGAAGAAGACGAGCTTCGCGCATGGGTTTTCTTGGAACCAGCTAGATTGGGTGCTCTGCGTGTCGTAGACACGGGTTCAAGGAGCGGAGACAAGTTGTCTCAAGAACGTGAAGGTGTCTCAGACACGCGAGCCTCGTATGAGGCGACCGCTAAATGTGAATTACGAATATTCACCATTTTAATGGGGGAGTGTAACCCGGCTACACGTACCGTTGTATGAAAGGAAGGGTCGCACAAGATGGTGCGGCCGTACATATGTGTGTATTACACAAATAAGTGTAATCACACAGTGTGTGGCTACGCCGTAGCAAGAAGCCACCACATGGCAGGATTGCCAGTAGTAATGCATATTACTAGATTGATCAAGTTTTTTATTTTACTATATAAATTAGGAAAACGCCGCTCTACCGCAGCTAAAAAAAATTGAAAAATGATTAGATATTGGACAGAAGTGTTCGATTCCCTTAAGTAAGGTTTTTAGCGTTTTGGATAGTACTTGGAAATACCGCATTGCGATCCGCTACACTTGTGCTGGTTCTTGGTAAGAGCGTAAGGTCGGTGGCCTTAGCTTAGCTTCCGCTAGGCATAGGGCTACAGCAGCCCCGCTGCAAAGCCTCGTGCATGTATAAACTCTGGCGCATCAGGATCCGTTTTTTGTTTGTAAATAATCTTTCTCACCACAATCTCGTTCTTTATTGCTTTGCATCGTGAGCGCGTCACAACATAGTGCTGACTCGGCAGTATTGTTTCACCTTGAAACGAAGGAGTCGTCTTCCATAAATACAGAGTCTAGCTCTTTCACTTGTGAGTAACAGTCGTTTTTCGGCTCCACCGGCTCTTTACTAAAGACTACGACACCCAGTCAATTCTACTTTACACTGGCTGTGGCACAGGATACACCATCGCTGTGACCAAATGTCAAGCCAGATATACGCATTCTAAGCACTACGACATACACTCAATCGATGTGGTTCATCAAAGGTACACTGGAGACCTTGATATGCTGTTACATTCAACTGTCTCATGAACCCATCTATATCAGGATTCAGAAGTGCTTTCGGCGCAGACATGAAGCCATGATAGTTTCAGCACAGGACATATCCAACGTATCTAGCAATGCCGCTACTAAGTGATTGAAGCGGAGCATGAAACGCAGGAGAGGATGGATGAAGCAATAGTATCAACTCGACAAAAATCCTCTGGAGAGAATTGCGTGGCTACTGAAGTGAGCTCTCAAATGCTTTGTTATGTACGTCGTTTGATACTTGCCAAATCTAAGATGTGTGTATAGCTTATTTCTAGGCTCAGTATGATACAGCGTTTCGCGGTGTCATATTTTAGAGTCTCACATGACAGTTTAACAAGGCCTTCAACATGTCACGTCAGGAGTCGCACGGATACAATGTCCGTATCTGGCATCTTCAATGCCTTTGCGCGCTGCCTGCTGCTTTCGATAGTCGCGCATCGTACGACGCTTTTAAATTCATCAGGATATACACGGCCTAACGAAGCCCGGAAGGTTAGTGTTAATGTTAGCAGCCAAAAACCTGAGGCTGTGCGCCCCATTCCTCTATAAGAGTTTTTAGCTAAGTCCCTGATCACGTTCTCCACGAGGTATAAGAGAATACAATTTAATTTTATAAAGCGGCTCCGTGCCTAGTCGCACCATACTTTATCCCAATAGAGACTCATCGAATTAACCTGCGTGGAAATCCGACCCTTTATGCCTTTTGGCCCACCTAGTTGCGAAACCTAATATGCATAGACTTTGTTTTGTCACAGATGAAATATTAGCGAGTACTAAAGAGCTGCTTGGCAGCCAAGTGATCACTCACTTTCTCTCCAGCTTAGCTGAGGTCTATCGCTTTCAGTTGCTTTCACTGAGAAGAGAACTCGGTACTCCATTAAGTCTTCGCGGTATGGATGTGGCACTCCGTATATCCCCGCATTGCTCAAAAAGCTGTATGGGCTATTTGTGTGGGCCACAACTACCCAAAGACCCTTCACGAGGGTGGTGACTTCTATAGTCTCCAGATGGTATACCGCTATTTGTAAGAGCTCGCAACTTCTGGACACAAAACATTATTTCTTTGCCTCCCGTGACTGATGAACATGAACTTGGAAATCTCTCGATTCGCCTGGGTTAGCAGTACAAACACCTTCAAAATATGTCGCTCTGAAACTATCATGTCGGGATTGCCCTTTCCTTGTAAGTACTGCACGCTCATGCTCATTTGAGCGCATTGCGTTTGAAAACTTTTATAGCAGCGTTTTTTCAAACTTTCTTGCGAATACACACTATTGCTCTATTTGGGACATGGTCAATTTGTAGCCATCCTAGCTTAAGCGCCAGTTTTGTGTTAGCTGACACGGACTCTGGAAATCTAAACTTTCTCTGTGCGAGGTGCACGGTAAATCAGTTTGATCAACAAAGTATTAAGCGTCAGTGATTTAATGTTATATTCCCGTACAATTTCAGCTGAAAATAATTATGTAAGCAGGGATAGAAATGAACCAGGTCATCGCATTGTCAAGCTTCATTAAAGCATAAGAGGCGTTTGCAGAATGCAATTCTGCTCAGTGCCGTGCCGTGACCACAAAGAGATTGAACTGTCGACGCAAGAGATAAAACTTTAGATAGAATAAATTATGAATGGAGTATATTGCGTAATTGGTCGTACTTTGTGCTAGTATTTGTGAGCTGGGTGTATTCCCGTTTAGCCCAATTTAACTCGATTTAACCCATCCCAAAAGTCCTGGAAGAGAAGCTATAATGAACGGCGTAGAGGCCGCTCTGTCCCGTCTTCAAAGTGATACTCAAGACTTCTGGGCATCTCTGCATTCCATTCATCGAATCGATGCCTCCACCTTAACCCCAATTCAATTTTATCGCGACTTTGTAAGTCGAAGTGTGCCCGTCGTGCTACTGAATGTTATGACGAGTACAATGTGGCAAAGTGCCATGGCCAATTGGCAGAATAATGACTATTTGATCGCTAAGAGCGGAGAACACCCTGTTTCCGTGAATGTCACCCCTTTTGGCTTTGGCGATGCAGTCATGGAGTTTCATGGACACGACAGTAGCTTGTTTGTATTGCCCGAGGAGAGGTCTATGCATATAGCAGAGTTTCTTGAAAATTTGAAGAATCGTGATACATTTGACGGCGTGCCATATCTCTCACATCAAAACGACAATCTAAGGGACCAGCTGCCAAACCTTTTTAATGAAATTCCATCTGCAATCGAATTAGGAGTACAAACTTTTGGAAACGAACCGGAAGCAGTTAATATTTGGATTGGGGATGAAAGGGCGGTATCTACTCTACATAAAGATCATTATGAGGTAAAGATTGTCTGCCAATTTTGTATTTTTATTTTTGATAGATTCGTTGTTTCCATAGAATATTTATTGTGTAGTGAAGGGTCAGAAACACTTTACGCTACTACCACCATCGGCCGTGGGATGTTTATATGAGCAGGAGTTTCCGACGGCTAAGTATTGCCATGTGGATTATCTTGAACCGAAAGAAAGACTGGACCCTGTGGCGACAAAACTTTTTCATGAAAAATATCCACAACACAATAAATGGATGATTTTGTCAGGAAATGACAAGAATAGTACACCTTGGATCCCTGTGGATCCATTGCATGTCGATCTAGAAAAGTATCCGATGGCGACGACATTACAACCGATTGAAGTCGTGTTGGAGGCAGGCGAAGTCCTCTACCTGCCATCTTTGTGGTATCACCGTGCTACACAGCTGTCCACGACAATTTCGGTTAATTACTGGCATGACATGGAATTCGACTGTCGATACGTGTATTATAACTTTGCTCACGAAATTGGTGCTTTGATCGTAGCGCCAAAGACGAAGAACGCAGAAGACAAACAATCACTAGTGAAGAAAAATAACGTAATTTCTAAATGAAAGCTACATGGATTTCTCCGTTTTCGAATGCTCGAATTAATTTTTCGTCGAGTGCACTTGTAACATTCCCTTGAAGGACCCTTCCAAAACAAGAAGATAGAATTTTTGCGTAGCATGGAAATATATCTTCTCTGTACCTACCCAACCCTTGCACCACCTTATCGCAAGACCCGTGAGATAGAGGCAAGATTCTGAAACATGATTTCAGTACCGAAAAGTCCAATTATACACCTCAAGGGATTTTATCAGCGCGTCGGCAAAATTAGCAACACTATGGTTTTCTCAAACTTTTCATGATTTGCTTTCTTCAGAATTGATCGTACGAAGGGAGCATTGGTCCCTTCTGTTATGATTCCGTATGCAGTGGCACATTTTGCCAATCTTTAAGTAACTAATGAGAAGCAAAAATCGATCTTCTTATGCAAGATGATGGTTCGTTCTCCCGCTTAGTTTATGAGTTGTGCCAAGAAGCGAAATCAGCTGTCGTTTTCATGTCAATGTAGCAATTTCTCATAAATTACATCTACAGTCGACATGAAGATTATGCTTGGGACTGATACACGACAGCCGATAACTTATCTCATTGCAATCCAGGCCGCCCAACCTTCTGATAAGAGCTCTCATGCTTAAGATGACGAGATCTTTACAACGAAGTGAGTGTTCTATACAATCCACATTCTTTGTTGTCCCTACAAATCGCCATCAATTCAGCACGCAAGCTCGCCCTGGCTCACGACAGTTTGTACAACCGCCGATTCTTTAACAAAAGGTCCATCGTTACTTATCTGACAAAGAATGGAGCCACAAATCGGTCTCGTTTTAATTCAATTAGAGTTGGACTAAAAATGCCGCACAAACCGTCAAACGCCTTCCCAGAATTGACACGTACAAGTATGTGGACATGTCTGTTGCTACATCGTTCGATTATGATGAATTTCAAAGTCAATCATCAAGGCTTACACATGTTTGTTGATTGGTTGAGCATCTTATCGCTGCGATCGCAAAGTAGGCAACCACACAGCTTCGTAAGACGTATTTGATACTATCATCTGCGCAAAGAATCTTTCAAACCAGAGCCGTAGTTTCTATGGTTTGAATAATGATTTTAGTTAACAGCCCACAATTCGCAGATAGATGATCAACTGAATGGTTATAACCTTTGCATTGTCAAGAGTAGTTGTCAGTCAAAAATGGATTGCAGTATTTCTGAATGAAATTTATGGATGGACGGGCTGCATCTCATTCGGAGGTCCAAAGTTTTGCCAAACGTGCCTATCTGACCAACAGACGAATGCTTTGAAGAGTCTTTATGAGCCATTCAATCGAAAGTTAAGAAGTGCTTACTAACAAAACTAGAATCTCGCAACAGGACTGAATCTTATCTTAGCCGAATCTAATGAATTTATCAGGTCCAGAAGCAGATATTGCTCAACAAGATATGATTCAACTTTATGGCGATACTTAAATTGCACGCAGTCACAAGTTTTTATCTCTCATCATACCTGAGTTTGCTATTATGGTGACGACTTGATCGATCAGCTAGCACTGTCTATAGTTATAGGTGCTATCTTTATAGACAGTAATTTGTACCGAGCACGCCAACCCTCTTGGTCTACACTTTCCTATCAACTAGACATTGAGAAGCTTCGTAACCTAGACGTGAGCTAATTTGCCACGTTGATTGTATAATCGACGGCAACAATGAACGCTTTTGCTCATTGCGAAAGCACGTTTCAATCTTCAAAACTCAACCAGCTTAGCGATTTTTTTCTTTCTTATCACGGATACTCAAGTGCCCCATTAGGTTACTCTATAACTTACCATTTTGTCAAGCAAAAAGTTTCTGCCGTCCAGCTAGTGAGTAACCTTCTAACCCCCATAGAATGTGTCCATAATTAAAATTTGGCAAGTCACAACAAACAAATATCGTTTTATACTATAAATAACTAAACCTTCCTAACACAATCGCATAATTTTTTGACATCTTAAGTTCTTGAATAGTGCTTTCATTATTGTGTTGTTAGGTTTCCAAATGTCCATCACCACAAACGAATGTCCATCACCACAAACGAATGTCCATCACCACAACGACATAACGTCCTAGGAAAGTTCGTAACGGCCGTTTGTAGAGCTGTTATGGTCACTTAATCATCCTAAAAGATAAAGCTTTCAGAGGGCAGGATTTTTCTCGTATCGTCTATCCAACCATATTGGATTATATTTCGGAAAAATCAATTTTGGTGTCACGGAAGATTCATGCTCGACAAGACGAATAAGTTCCGCGGCAATTCTGAAAATTCGCAAAACATGCTAAACTATGAAGTAAAATATAATGTGTACTTTACCAACGTAAGCTATGCTTTGATAGTAAGATATAGCCGCACCATCACCTGCACGATTTGTTACTGGATTTAATTGTCTCGCACAAGTGAAAAGAAAGCACTTGCTGTGGTCGTAAAGGTGTTGCATTCCAACAAAGCTTTGGCTCTGAGCACTTAATACCGAACACAATAATACCTGTATGTTATTTATATACAGTAGACTGTATAAATTTAATTCATATGGTCAAAGCTAATCTGTCGCAGATTTCGCGGTCATACGACGGCAATGTCCTCATATTCCCACAAAAACACGTAAGTCTGTACATATGTGATCATTAGCTTGCATCAAAGAGGATAGTTATCATGCAATGCAAATTTGTATAGTTTGAAGCACGACGTGCTCCAGATAGGTTCATGAACATTTGGGTATCGATTTGACGCCTCGATAACTGTCAGCTATTTTTTTTTATAATTCAGTCTTTATTAGTTTCTCTGCCATATTTATTCAGATAAAAAATTCTGATACTCCTCAAATCGCATCTTTTCTACCACCTGTCCCATTAAAAATAGGTCTGTACTGCTCCAATAGCCTACTCTTTAACTCTGATAGGATTGCATGATGGCACAAGACACTATCTGTGTTTCATTTTGCCAAGCACTCTCGCCCGCACATATCGATAAATTATGCGATTTGGTGATTCTTGGGATGCTGGTCATCCTTTTCCACCTCGAGAGCTTGTACTAACGCGTACAGACATGGAGAAATACGAGACTTTGGCCGATCAACTTGTTGCTGAGACTTTACAGGTGAACGAGGAATTTATTGCTGACCGACGTTTTATCGACCCGGAGCGATGGAAACTTGTGAAAGAAAGGGGTACGATGTCGGCGTATTGTATGCGATCACGAGGTGAACGTCGTTTACGACGTGATCGTCTTCAAACAGAAGAAGCGGTAGAGTCGTCATATGTACATCGACCGAAATTTTATTCGAGTGACAGCCCTTTAGATGACCTCATTTGTAGAGGCTACACCCAACAAACGTATGATTCATCACAAGAAGACTCATCTTCTCTTGGAGGCTCAGAATATTACAGATTGGACATCGATACGCCCGAACAAAGCATCTTAGAGAAGATGCGACCACCTAATACTCCTATGGTGGTTGGTGGTGGGGTCATTCCAGGAACTGTAGATGATGCTGGTCTTGGATTTCTAGCAGACACAGAGGAGCGTAGTATTATGCGTGCGATTGCCAGTAAGGACTTGAACATCAAGGACTTGCGCGTCTTAGCCCAGATTCGTAGTCCCACTTCTCAGGACCCATTTCAATTTTTAGGTATCAAATGGAGTTCGTATACTTCAGGTCAAGGTAGTGGAATGATTGTGAAGCCCCGAGATTTGGTTGTGATTGAGTCCACAGGCATGACGACGGATTCAAATGGCGAGCAAGTATTTTACTTTCTGAGCCATTCAGTGGAGATTGAGGAGGTCCCAGAGTATCGAAAGCAAGGACTCGTGCGGATAAATGCATCTTGTTGTCGAATTGTGCGTACATACAACAGTCAGGGCGATATTGAGATTTTTTTTCGTGGGTATAGCAATGCAGGCGGAAACTATGGGGTGGCCGCTTCAACTCAATTGCTTTGTGAGCACTTGCTAGACTCAGCACAAGTAGTAGAAGAGTCGTACATGAAGAAACTTGCATGGTTTGTGCACTCGTACGCACGACGACGGAAGAGTCTCGAAATATTAGAAGACAAACGTGGTGGATGCGCTTGCTGTCATAAAATGCCAACGAAAGGCTTCAAAAAGTTTCTTGAAAGCACTTCGACTTGCTTTTTGTGTCGACACAAGGTCTGCAAGAAATGTACGGTCAAGAAAAACCTTCCACTTGACTTATCGAGTAAAAAGAGTCTTGAATTCTGTTTGACATGCTACTTGAAGGCCAAGCAACTGTCAGCGAGGAAAGTTGCACTGGCCACTGTTTCAAAAACATAGCGACGTTAGCCATACCATGGGTTGTTATATTAACAGTACTACTCTTGATGCAGTTACTACTATAAGTACAAATTTAGTAAAACCATTTAGAAACATTAATACGAGGAAGTAACATTACTATAATCGATATCTCACAGTCGACAGTGATTTCTGATGGACATTAGAGGTTATTCATTATATTAATCATTCTTATGGTGCCGATTTCAATAGCGTCGCTACAGCTACATGCCAAGCAGACAGTCGTTTAGCTTTAAGATAACATGTTAAACAATATTCTTGTTCGATCTTCTTCATATAACGGCCACGAGCACCTTCACCAGGTAGATATTTCTTGACTGTGCACTTATGACATACTACTTTTCGACAAAGTCGGCAACCGGAGCTCTTGTCCAGAAACACACCTAGTCTTCTTGACGAAAGTTTTCCATGGCAACAAGGACAGCTACTGATTTTTTCAACTAAAGAAGCTGAGCTATTGCTGCTTCTGAAGCTACTCGAGTCGCTTCCACTGCTGCTACTTGCACTCCATCGACGCTGGTCGTACAACATCCACGTAAGCTTTTTGAAATATGCTTCTTCTAATGCATCGGGTATTGCAACAAGCCCTTCCGCGAAGTGAGTGACGTTAAGACGGACACTTAAGCTGTCATTACTAATTAAAAAGCCTCTTGCGTATGCATCCACAGTCTCTCCGTCCTCGCGTGGCTTCATGACATGACAAGCCGAGAAGACTATACGCATGAGCCCAAACTCCCAGAAATTTGGAACTTCCTCTCTCTCAATCGAATGATGCAGCATGTACGTAAAGCGAACTCCATTTGAGTCAAAAGCCATTCCAGTGGCCTCAATGATCAAGTAATCGCGAGGTTTCACAACCAGCGATACTGCTCGACTGGGCATACTTGTGCACCACTTGATGCCAAGAAATCGGAACGGATCTTCTTGTGTTGGTCCTTGAATCTGTGCCAGAATTCTTACATCTTCTACAACTGCCTCTTTGATAGTGTTAAATCGTGTTCGACTACGCTCATCTGTATCTGCTAAAAAGGCAAGTGCCATATCCTCCACCGTTCCTGGAAATGAACCATGCATGAAGACTGTCGGGACACTCGTCGGTCGAAACTTTTCTAACACACTGGTTTCTGCGCCATCTTTGGCTCCAAATTTTGTAAACTCGTCGTGATGTAAACCTCTTTCATCCTTGGAGTCATAGTCATCCACGTTGTGAAAACTTTGGATAAACATTGCGTCTTCAAAAGAGCCGTGACCTGTTGGAAACAATGTAGGATTCTGTGGAGAAGCAGTCACCACAACTGTGTCTTCGCTCCAAAATCGACCGCGCTTAGTAGTACAAAGACCTGATACATTCTGATACGCTACCATGTTGTCTTTCTCCTTCACTCGCTTCCAGCAACTTGGATCCGCCACGTGACCTTCAGCAGCAAAGTCTTCACTGGCATGTAAAGTCTCTGCAACCAATCGATCAGCGATTTGTTCAACAGCAAATTCTTCCTCGGATGATAGATTTAAGGGCTTGGGTGGGTACACGACATTATAGTGTTCCATTCGTTTGTGTCTCGTGAAGGAAATATTCAAGTGACGAGCATTAAGAGCGACGGAAAATTGCGTCGAAAATTCTAGTCCGATCTCAAAGAGCACCCAACTTTTACCTTACGATCTCATATCTATTACTTCGTTTGAAGATTCCTTATGTTGACGACGGTATGTTGAGGCTGAGGGTTACGAACATGTACGAAAGGATGGGCGGTCATTAGTACAGATGGAACTTTTTTCTCTCGAAAACAGAATGTGACACTAAAGAAAACGCACATCCATTAGGGAATTTGAAGTATCAAGTCTTCTTCAGAAGACATGAGTGTAGTGCTCATTGCTACTTGCCATGCTGGAAGGCTGGTAGCTTTTAAAAAGCAGCTTAGACAGAAATCCATTGTCTTTTGTGTCAAGTGTCCGGACCGATCGGTCACAATGGGTATGGCTTTCTTCACCGTACATTTGCGGCATATGGTTTTTCTACAGAGCTGGCACATGCAGGTACCGTCCAAGAGTTTAGCGAACCCCTTCGTCAACTTTTGGAGGCAACATGGACAAGTTTTGTTAACATCCAACGGAGCCAGACGCAAAGTTGTATCTGCTCGACGCTGTGTAGTTAATAGCCATACTAACTTTTTTGTGTACGCTTCTGCTATCGTTTGAGGTACTGTCATGAGTCTGTCGCAAAAGATGTACGTACTTAGTCGCTCGGCAATGTACCCACGCGTGTCCATGAAACCACGACTGAAAACCTCGATTGATCCCTCCGCGTCGTGTGGACGCATGATATGGCATGCAGAGAATAAAATGCGTACGATTCCGAACGCACGAAAGTCCGGTACATTTTCTCCCTCGACCGAGTGATTTAAGACGTAAGCGAACCGTTTACCATCTGAGTCCAGTGCCATACCCGTGGATTCAAGAATGACATAGTCTCGAGGTTTGATAATCCCTCGCGGAGCATGTAAACACCACTTAATTCCTAGAAACCGAAATGGATCGTCTTCACTCGGTCCTTGAAAGCGTGCGAGGATTCGCATGTCGTCCACGGACGCCTCCTTTGAGCTGACATTCCGCATGCGACTTCGATTCTCCGTGTCAGCAAAGAAGGCTAATGCTGCGTCTTCGATAGTACCAGGCACGATGCCGGTGCAGAAGACCATTGGAACACGTGCTGGTCGAGACTTGTCTACCACGTCATGTTCGACTTCGTCTCCATATTTCCATTCATCTTGAATTTCATCATCCGAGCCAGCTTCCGTGATTGTGACGCTCGGATACGACTCGACCAATGCCTCGTTCGTCTCTTGATCTGTAATATGGTAAAACGACGGTAATCGAGGAGAAGTCGCAACGGCTTCTGTCTCGTCACTTGGAAAGCGATTTCGCCGAAATCTAGACACACGTTCTCGAATTCTGTACGCAGTCATGTTATGTTTTTCTTTGACAGCTTTCCATCGACTTTGGTCTACGAGACGTCCTTGGGCTACATATTCGTCGTGAGTACGAAGAGTTTCAGCAACGAGCTGATCTGCTAAATTCTCATACGAAAGAGCATCGGCTGCTGACACATTGAGCGGCGTATGCGGGTACACGAGAGATTTCTGATTCATTTTGCTTCAATAAGCTAGGATGAGAAATGTACGCATACAATGGTCATTCCATACAGACAAATCAATCGTGCATTGCTTTGGTTTTAACTGCGTCTAATTTTTCTTGAAGCGACCTTTGATCCACTGTACAGAAAATCATATCGTGGAACCTGGACACCTACCTACTCATTTCTTTTCGAACGACCAAAAGGTTCGAAACGAAAACACAAAGGCAGACCTTAATGGTCGCTTTCAAGATGCAAATTTAAATTGACATCTTGACTAGAGCATTACTAGAGTGTAAGGGGGCATCTCCAACCAGCCAAGAGGAACATATGGTGCTATGTCGCTCGATTCTGAATGGATTTACTTGATTCGTGTGACAGGCTTATCCCCTCGCTTCAAATTATTCTATTGGTCGAAAAAACCAGCACTAAGAAGTCAGACAAATTAAAGTATCCGGCTGTCACACCGAAATCATTTACGTATTATTGTAAAAAAATTCTATTCACCGGCTCGTGCCGAGAGCGAGTTAGGTCGGAAATTTTCATCATGGTGCGTGATGGCTGCTGCATGAACTGGATGTTACAGGCAGTTCATAAGAAGTCGTTGCAATTGAATGCTCCGGATGTGGGAACGTAATGGTGGAGACTGTCTAAATTGTTTGAAATCAGGGCGTTAGATACCAAAGCTTAGTCTGCTGAAATATAATCAGCAATCTAATTAAACTTTGAACCATGGTACCCAATGGCATGGTCAGCATTTATAAAATTTCTAACGTTGCGACGATTCAATAGTCCTCACTGTTTATGCGTACGTTCTGGTTTGTCAGATCGACGATAAAAAGGCCTTTAAAATCGTGCGGAATGGCCAAGCTCAAGATCAAATTTTCGATGCGACCGAAACTGTTTTTGATTACCAAGGCTGAAACTAGAGGAAATGATGGTTTCAAGTATTTGGTAAACTAGAAGACAGTTTGTCACTTAAAAGTGTAACCATAAGATTTCTGGTGATTCAGATTTTAATAGCCGAAGTCAACGTTTAGGACTGAATTATGTGGAAACTTAAATTGAAGGTATGTCTTGGATCATTCTTGCATAGGTCTGCCATGCACTCTCCGACAGAATGTATCGACTGTATGTGTCCGCGTATACAGCATACACAGATTAGGTTCGATACTCCATCCAGGTAGCGGAACCTGGTAGTACGACTTTTATTTTGCTCTGCTATTGCTAAGGTGACATTTGTTAATGTTTGATTTTCCACCTAGACTCACACTTAAAACACTCATTTTTCCAAAATTTTCTTCCTGCCCACCCACACTCTCCCTCACACAGTCAATTATCTATATAAATACTGTAAAACCTGTCTAAATTAAACACGTTATTTCCACAATTACATGAAAACGCATCGCAAATTTCGCACAATTGTACACCTTACAATTATACAACACTAACTTATGGTATCTAGGGATACGCTCGTTGCTCGTATATGCAAAGGAAGAGCGGACGACGTGACATGAGAATACACCCCGTCCGCTGAATTAAGAATTCATCCTCTTTTGATTCATCTTCAACGTCGGACGGCATCTCGACGGCAAATCAGGCGGGATCCCATGCCAAACGAGAGAAACTGCTCGTTATCCTCGGAGCCGTCGAACCCACCGCCAATATATCCAACTGGAACCCCCCTTTTCGTGCATACAATCGCATTTCCAGAGGGACCTGGAGCAGACAGAGAAGAAAGAAGCATTTCCAACCAGTGACTAGAGCTGGGACGATAGCGTATGGGTGATTAAATCCACGAGCTTCGAGAGCGCCTGGGAACCCAGATACAAGGACATGCATCGTTGGATAGACCTCAACGGCCATGCGACATCGAATGAGCTGGATGTCTTGCGGCGCGGTAACCTTAAAAAATCGCGAAGTCGAAGGCAGCGGGACTGCGTCAACAAATGCCACTCTCAAGTCTGAACTTGGATCTTCTTCCATCGACATGCTACTCGTTTCAAGCTGCTCAATCAAAATTTAGGGTGGAAACACTGATGCCTTTCTTTTTCGAGCAAACCATTCTTCCGCTTTCCACTTGCTTTCATTGCCGGGTGAAGCCTCGAATATCGCTCGAGTTCAACCTTGACCTCATCACTCAAATGATAAGCTCGTCGTCCCATGAGTGTAAGTCGGTCAGCAGATACAAATGTGTTGGTGTTCGATCGACAACCAGCGCTGATCCTGAACACACTGCTGATAAAATCCTAACAACTTTGAGGCACGGTCGACAAGTCCTCTGCGCTCCATTCCCGCTCGCCTCTCGCAACACCTGCGACTTTAATGAGTTCCACCAAGATGTACATTTCTTTGTAGCCAGGCTTGAACGGCTTTTTCTTTCCAAAATACTTTTTGTCATTCAGTGCCCATGACGGTCGCATATCCCTGTACTGCTTGTCGTCTTCAACCACGCGCCGTTCTTCCGCGCAAAGTACCGCGTCAAAGCGCTTGCCGGAAACGAGAAGCGCCCTTTGTATCGTTGATCATCAAATATGGCCTTCTGCAGCGCTTCGACTTTCGTATCACGTGTGATTTTCTCAGAAAACACGACTTCTCTCCCATACACCGCACACTCCAGCTCCACCTCGTCCATGTTTCTTCTCACCAGAAAGTTTGAGACTGAGAGAAGCAACGGGCGATGATGATGGATACAATCAATCGAAAGATTTACAAGAATATTATCGAGTATGTATGCGACTTATAAGTTGCGTTTTCACTACTACTTTTTTGGTCGTATCAACAGACGAATGCATACGCTGTTATCAATGATACCAAGCGGGATCGTAGCTCCTTCCATTGGGCAATAGGCTAACCCCTGACCTTATGAAGTTGTGATTAAGCCGCCATACTGAACCCCAGCAGAAGTGAATGTGTGCAATACCTGATTGTTGTTTGCAATTGTATTATACAGATTTGAACAAGTGATAACAACCGCGGCTATTGGATCGACTTGAAGAACTAGATCACTATTAACCGCATAGACACTAGTTGTTTGAGCAGCGGGATCCGTAGCTGGACTGAACCCAATGAAAGAACCAAATGAGGAATCGACTACCTGGAGCTGAGTTGTATAAGCACTGACTGGTATTGTAGGAAAACCACTCATAGCAGTGTAGCCTGTGATATTCTTAACTGGTTGCATTGTGGACTGAATAGCGTAACTCGATGGGTTTTCATCACCTGAGATGAAATAGTACTTTAATCTGGTCATTTTGTAAATAGAGATTGTTTTGGAATGATCAATTTTGAAGGTAGTTATTGATGTCGCTTGCTGAGTATGTGCCATCAGGGAGCGTAATTGTGTATGTCGTTGTCGTCGAAGCTGTCGGCCATATGATCTTAAAGCTGTTGTTTTGACGCTTGCGCCATGAGTAGTAGATGGATATCAATCCTAATGCAATCTGAAGTCAATTGGCTGCGAGAATCGATATCGGAACTGATGAGTCGCCTCGTGGTTATTGAGATTTACAAAATCGGAAAGCTCATTTTTACAAACGAAGACTTCCGGATATCTATGATATCTTATCTACTAGTGTATACTACATCGACGAAAGAGAATTCGACGACAATTGATGCCCCAAGCAATGGAGATCGATGGATCAGGCGAAGTGGATCACTCGAAACCTGTAGCTCCATTTAAAAAACGATTATGGTTCAACGATATTGAGACACTCTCCAAACAGCTTCAGAAGATCAGCGTTAGTGATCTTGCCAAGGAGCATAAAAAGATGAAAAAGTCTCGTAAGTCTCGTTATATTGATACTTCAAAGTTGCTCAACTTTAAATGCGAGTCTAAGAGATCGTCGTCAAAAGGTTCCACCATAGATAGCGCTTACTTAACCAATCTGGTGTGAATTCAGGTAGTCAATTTTGTGTCGAGCGTAATATCTTCCTCGTCGATCACAATGTCAGTGATCGGTCCTTATATTGAGCATCACGAGAATCCCCAAAATCAATCTTTTCGCTGTCTCTTAGAGTCTTGTACATCCTAAGCGACAGCGATGATGTAGAGACAGCGATGATGTACCACATCATGTACCATGAAGTGACAGCGATGATGTGCTACAAACAGCGATGATATGCTACAAACAGCGATGATGTACATCATCACTGTCTCTTAGGATGTACAACACTCTAAGATACCATGTAGTACATCGTTACATGGTACTACATGGTAAGAGACAGCGATGGGGTACGTACTATCATATCCTACAATAGTACAACACTCTAAGAGACAGATGTACTATGTACTACATTGATGTACTATGTAGTAATGTACTAATGTAGTAACATCATGTAGTATACATACTATTTCATCGCTGTCTCTTAGTAGTACTACATACATAGTGTTATGTACTACATAACTACTATATATCATCGCTGTCTCTTAGTAGTACTAAGTACTATGTAGTACTACATACATAGTGTTATGTACTACATAACTACTACATATCATCGCTGTGTTGTACAATTAGAATATGATAGTACGTACCCTACCTCGTCAAGATGTGGACCACACTGGATTCAAACTACTTTGGCCATTTCAAAGATTTCGCAGAAGTAAGCGTTGAACTAGCAACAACTGAGCTTGGAGTCTAACCCCACACGTTGCACTCCATCATGCTTGCACCTCACAGCTTACTTGTATCGGAAGCCCCCCGTGCACTTCATCAAATGATTAAGAAAGTCCCAAAAAAGGCGCAATCTTTGATTGACGCTTTGAAAGCATAATTATGCCGAAGTGTTCTTTGGGGATGAAAACGGTCGCAACGACTGGCCGATTTCAATCATAATATGCGTCATGATATTTTCTGAAACCAAATACTGCTGTACACGTCAGTGGCACTCATAGAGATAACAATGAGAGGAAAAAGCGCGAGATGGTTCTGGGGCGAGTGAGTAATTCTACCCATTCGACAGAAGCTTCACGGCAAGTGGCGAATTGCGCGTGCTGATGGCAAACTTGATGCAGCCACGATTCTGGCAAAATCATCAGCCTCTATATAATATGCTGCAGACAAACATGGTCGGATCTAATCTACATTGTTCATCGCCCTTTATATATTTGTTGGAAATGTTGACTGCTAGTGGAGCATTTCTTACTCCGAGTAGCGCGAACGCAGCTTAGTATCGTATACGACAGACTCTGTTTGTCGTAGGTAGTTTCGTCTCGATTAATGAGCACATTCAAAGTCATTAATCTTCAATTGTAACAAAGCTTTACGCAACTTCGTTGTTGAAGTACGGATCTTGTTCAAGTGTTTGCAATTGATCACTGACCGCAAGACTTCAATGTGAATCGATACCACTAGCTCTACAAGTTAACATACGAATACAATACCAAGATAGGTCTGTAAGATTGTATAACCAGTTGTATCACCGGACAGCTTAGCATCCTCATAATCTTTTAGGCATGACAAGCAGCTCTTATAGTCTCACAATGGGTGTATCCACTTCTCAGAAATAGCAAAATAGCAAATTGTGTCAGACACTTAATATGCCGAAGAATATGCAAACACCCGCTTCAATCAAAAAATCTTGCATTTTTATTATATTTGCATTAATATTTTCTGAAACACCGGACAAATCAACCCAATATGTTGTTTTTTAGATTGGGTTTGTGCACATTAAATTAGGGCAACCAGCGAAGCGAAAAATGTCTCGACATAGTATTAAATGCCATTTATAGTGGATACCCATAAGATGAAGATGCCATTATGAGCATTACAAAGGCTTTAATGTTATATATTTCTTCCTATCATCTGCGCAGTGCTTGATCTTTCGATGCTGGCAAATTCATGCATTGTCTGCATTACATACATATCAATTTCCGGTCAAAACGATCCACCTTTTTCAAGAGAGAACAAAATTTGATTTTGTTCCGAATTGTAAAAGACTCTTAATATTGTACAGATAGTTATGACGCTTTTGGGTTGTCTAACTGACATATGTATTGGTTTGATTAAGAAGGATACGCGGAGCCTTCACTCAAGATCTTTTACGATTAATTTTTCTACAGCTTGCTTCATGACGCATTTCTGAATCTATCTGAGAGCACTCGCTAAACAAGTGCTCTCAGATAGAAGTTTTTGTGCCTAATTTGTAAACTAATCGTGTTCTACAAAATGCTAATTTGTTAGCTTTTGTAGCGAGAACCCTAGCAAATGATGGGACACATCAGAGCGATGTAGGAATAACGCATTATCCACGATGACAAAGTGGTTTTCTGGATGGCAAAACCTGCTATCGTGACATCTGAGTATGAGGTTGTGCACACACTAAATATCTTGATATGATTTTCTTGGAAGAGAGGGTGAAGACATCAATTGTGATGACAGTGTTTCATTTTATCTCTTCGTTCAAGCACAGTTCTTTGGTCTAGAAAAAATTAATGCGTCGATATTCGGCATATTCATCTTGAAAAACCTTGATCAGATTCTATAGCCTTAAATACGTTTTCGTCACAGTCAGCTTCTTGTCTTTGCGTGGACAACGTTTTGTTGGAATCGCTGAATCAATTAAGTCGTACTTGAATGTCAAGACTATCTTAGAAGGCTGAATCTGAGGTACCACTGTGGTGCATCGTACTGTCGAGAGTGTGGAGCTAAAGGTAATGCGAAGACACTCACATCTCTCGTGAGTCACTTTTTGCAGTATTCTTGAAGAATTATATAGATTGAAGATTACGACATGCATGAGCCACACTTCGAGTTTGCGACACTTCTGTATTTTGTTTTTCCGTTTGATGAAATTTCAAAAGCCAACATACTATGATGGAGAAAAATGAAACCAACTCAGGTTCTTACAAATTACAAAAAGTTCAATGCGTTTCAGATTCTCGCGAATGTCTTAAGTTGGCAGAATATGTGGGCCCAGAAATCATCAAACTCAACCATCGGGCCTTCGTTGACAAGGTGGTTCATTTTTTTAATTTGCCTTTCGTGTAACATCAGTGTACCCCGGCAATTTTTTCTTTGTGATTTACACTGGAATGAGCGGTGCAAACTGGTTCGCTCAGAACACTGTTCTGATATTATTTGCTGTAAGCAATGTCCGTGTCTTTCTGCAATCATGCGAGCTTCCTGTATCTCTAGGGAATTAAGTAAAAATAAGCAGCATTACTCATAACTTTTTTAGCTCTTTACCACGAAAGCGGTTGGCTTTCAGCGACACGGAGCTACCAGCACTTAGGACGCCTTTTTTCAAACGTAGACCCCAAAGAAGTGAAAAAACTGAGCTCTCGTTACAGCATCCTTGATAACAAGCTTTTATTAGGTCAGTGAAATATAAGCTCAATTTGGGACAAAGGCTACTCGACCTTGCACATCTGACAAAAAAATACATCCAGGCAAGAGTGAAAGTGTTGCTTATGGAACTTCGCGGGATATTCTGCGTTATAATGCCGCAGCTTAAGCAAGTATGCACGGTGGTTACAAAGGCAGCCGCCAGATCAGACCTATAAAACCAGCATATTTCTACGTGCAAGACACATGCCATTACAAAGAGATTGTTTATTACATACCGGATTGCGAAATCTTCAGCGTAAGATTGATAAGGGGGTAGTATAAGGTGACACGGCGTCTCGATGATCTCGCACACAAAGATTCAACACATTTCTGGGGTGGTTTGAAGGGGGTAGAGGAGTGCAGTTCGAATATTATTATTTGTGGCTCTAATGTCCTTAAGCATAGAGTGACAATTTCAAAACAAAATCTCATTCCCCGTCTCAGGAACGCGATTGTTTCGCGTCGATGACTAAATAGTTTTTATTGTGCTAGAAAAGGTCATTAAAGCCACACTGCATTTTCTATTTTTCAATCATAACAAAAATTAATACAACACTGTCAATACATCTGGACCATTTGCCCTATCAACGATCATCATCGAAGGATTGATTTCGGTGGGCAGATTCCCTGAGGCTGTTGACGCAACTTTTGAGCAGACAGGTACATTGATGGGATCACCATGTTGTCTACTCGATCGTCTCGCTGTATCCAATACCTCAAGTTGTGATAACGAATGTCCTCGAATCGGTGGACCCGTTCCCTCCGCAGACGATACTAAATAAACAGCAGATATTTTCTTATTACATAACATATGCGGTGCCCACCAGCAGCTACTAACAGATGTCATATACATTATATAGCTCCTTTAAACAATCCGGAACACAAAAGACCTTCTTTACCCGGATAATGCTCGTGGTCAACGCCATTCAGGTGGGATCGTTTTGAGATTTTTCTATTACTTAATTGCTTCATTTCGGTGATATCTGATTAAGTTCTTGTTAGAGCGACAGGCTAGTAGCTGAGACTTTGTGGTTGATGTGGTATCTAACTTGGTTTTCTGGTGAAAATCGCATAACATTACTTATATTTCTATATTACAAGTACGCGTGTTGCAGCGCTCAATTGAGGTCACATAGCCGCTTCATGTAATTCAAACGGCTTCTACGGAGTACTTGTAGATAAATCTCAATACAATTTATAATACATACTGCAAGAGCTAGTACATCCTACAAATCGACACCAACATTGATCATTGTCAAAATGTAAGCCACTTCGAAAACTGCTTCGTGACGAAAGACACTGCTCGTGTCAATTTCATATTTCAGAATCAATATCACATGGTTTTAAAGGATCTTTGCGAAGTCATTCCTGACCATGTGGTCCTCACGAAAGAGCACGAGAGAGATTTAACCGACACAGCTGATCGTATAGTTGCCGAGACGCTACATTCATATGAAACCTTCATTGCAAGTAATCGTCAATTTGACTCACGCGTTTGGAAGCATGTCAAGTCTCGTGAAAAAGTTCACGTCTATCGTACTCATTGTTCTCATTCGAAAAAGCTTGAAAATTTAATTGAAAAGCAACCGTGTCGACCAAAATTGCTATCGAATGACACCATTGAGCAGCAGCAGCGAGAGGCACAGGCAGCCGGACGACCACATGCTTACACACCCGACGATGAGGATGAAGAACCTGAAAAACATCAAGACACATCGGGGCGTCAAGTCACTGCATCTCAGGCACTCTTGTCGCACACGCTCATCGAGTCTTCGAGTGACTGTGGCTCATTCTCTGTCTTTCCAACAGAAAGCGTTGTGGGAAAAATTAAGCCGCCTCGTGTCCCATTGGTCGCCGCAATCGGCATTATCGACGGCTCAGTGGAAGACGTGGCATTTGGGGCTCTTGCTCACACAAACGAAACGTGGTTCGAGCGCAATGCATACGTCAAGAACGACGGCTTTGACAGTCGCAAAGTTTTGGCGTCGTTCCAAAAACCAAGCAAAGAAGACCCGTTCCGATTTGTAGGAATAAAGTGGGCCACATGTGGTATTGCTGCCTTTGTGTCTCGACGTGACGTTCTGTTTCTTGAATCATCGGGTATTGCACTGGATTGGGATGGTGAACGTGTCTACTATAATCTCGCACATTCAGTCGTGTTGGATGACTGCCCCACGCTTCCTACTCGGTACCATGTCGTTCGTCTTAACTTGTCCATTTGCTACATCATGCGTCAGATCGCCGATACTCAGATCGAAGTTTATGCTCGAGGTTTTGCTGACATGGGCGGTAACCTTCCTGCTGTTATTGGTATGAATGTATTCTCGCAAGGGGTAGTTGACGTCGTGGGTATTGTAGAAGCCTCATACTTGAAGAAGCTAGCGTGGCAAATAAGTCACCGTTGTTCAAGTAAAGCGTCAAAAGATCAATTAAGCAATTGTGGCGTCTGCGGTAGAAGCATTGTAAGATTCGGTAATCTACTTTGCATGGGAGGAGCCTGTGCAATCTGCAAACAGATGACTTGCCAGAAATGTAGCGTGCAGAAAAAACTGCTTTCAAACGACGACATATATGTGGAGAAGAAGCTTACGTTTTGCTTATCATGTGTGATCGATGCTCGCCAAATGTCAGCATGGGATGTTGCATTACAGCAACTTGAAAATATGTAGTAATTTCAATAGTAGAAATAGTTGATCAGAAAGAAGCAATGTCAAAAGTCTAGTGTTTTGAGTAACCTTGGCATGAGATTGATCGCGTACCCGGCTGCGTATATCTCACAAGAGAATACGCTACGTCATACAGTGCAAGAAGACTTTCTTTGACTTTTAAAGAAGCATAAATCACTTTATGATGCGGATGCAATACTTTTGTACTGGTAACATCTTTCTTCTGAGAAGAAAATTATGGATACGTTGGGGCTTACAACAATCAGAGGATTTACAAAAAAAATGTTAGTCCGGTTGATGAAGTTGCAAAGTCATTGCTACAGTAGTTAGTTGATCAAGCGATTTACGATGACGAAAATTAGCTAAGCCACAAGAGATAACTCATGCCCAGTAAAGTTGAAGTCCTTGCATGCGTTTGTCTGAAACCTTCCTGATGACATTTCCGTCTATAGATTATCTGATTGTAATGCGAGTGATCTGAAATTGAAGCATTGCAGGTGACCGGTTCGTATCGGGTCGATTTGATGACATCTTAGCTGACTGCTGCGATTGGCACCAGTTTCGAGATTCCTCCTCCCCATTTTGTTAGAAGGCAAACATGTGAAAGCTCACGCATTCGGTTTGCACGATGTCTTTGTCCAGTGTCAGATCAGATACTTCTCAGTGATCACCATATTACACATTTTGATTGAGTAAATTTAGGCTTGAACAATTGAAAGCGATTTTTCCATGACGTTTGTAAAACATTTATATCACCCTGTAAGAGTAGTATCCCATGCTAATGATTCGAATGTGTGATTGTGTTTGTGTCTTGTTGGTGCAAACGGCGATAAAACCTACTAAGCCTCGTTACAAGGAGCTTCTTGCAATGAAGTACGCTCTCGTCAGATTCAGTGTGCACAACGAATGGCAATATGGCTCTCGTGTTTGCCGGGTATGCGTTTGAGATAGTCTATAGGCGGATACAGCTTAGTGAGGTGGCGGATGCATTTCGGATTGCCCCACAATAAAAGTGTCACGTGTCACGATATTTACGTCGCCAATTGATGAGGCAATACGTACAGCGTGCAGGTCAGATGCAACATGTGTTGTGCTGCCGAAAGTTTTATGAAGTTTGAGGACTAATATGTTTCATCCCCTCACCGCTACGTCTTATTCCAACGCAGGCTGTATTATAGTACTGTTCCTTATGAAGCCCAACGTAAGGTGGTGCCTCACGATGAGAATCTTAAGAACAAAATACTATATGACACTCTTTGGGTGGCCAATTCGTAAGAGAGAGGGTCATATTGCTCCGTGAGTGGTGTGTTATGGAGGCCCAACAGGAATTTCCGGGTGAGCACGTTTATCCACTTGCTAGTGTTTAATTCGATTGACCATATTTGAGCTCCGTGTGCTTTGCCTATTAACGGCAATAATGTTGGAGTAGTTTCATACGTATGCATGTTGTTTTCAGTTAAACTGCTGCTTACTAAGGTCTCCCGTCACCTGCGCATCATACACTCCCAGAGAAGTAACCAATCACTAATAAAGTATGACGCACTTAGATTACTATGACCAACAAGAGAGATTTTACTTTTCTATGAAGATCACTGTATAATAGATATTGGCCAGATCAAGAGCACAGAACATATAGCAGCCTACCATGGGTTCAGCAGCATTTTTCCTGGATGACAGCTTGGGCAACTGATCCGTGTATGCATCGAGTTTATCACAAAATAAATTATTCGCCACTTGCCTCTGGCCTTTCAAAGGCAGAAAATTGGAGCAAGTGAGAATGTTTACCTCTCCACTTTTTGCTTTGCACTCACAAAAGCATATATAATTTTGATTGGTGCTCTTGGAGACGGCTGTCGAGTGTCACGCAATACTTCAATTCCAGTGGAAATGGAGGCCTCGTGGCGCATTACGACAGCAACCGTGTGGCTGTTCATTTGCCGCGTCGTCATATGCCTTCAACAAAAAGCACAAACTTGTACGATTTTTAAGTACACTCATCATTTTCCTCATATTCAGGCTTTTCACCTACGGTCTGGCACGGCGATACCATTTTATCGAGACAAGAAATGTCCGTACTGACTAACTTCACATTCTGACCATTCTGTATAAATGCCTTCAGTCGCACCTCTTCACCAGTTCTTGCTCACAAAAGTTCGATACCAAGCCGTCACAATGACATCAAACCCTAGCGATCGCGACAAACCGTTATTTTTGATGCCCCGCTACAACCATATTCCGATGGATTTGTATCAAGTCACACTTACCGTCTCAAGAACAAAATGTCGTATCAAACACTAGTTTTTATTTACAAAAAGAAGACAAGTTGGAATTTGCGATATAAGAGTGCTATTTACTGTCCCATCTACCGCTCGCAGATTGCTGCTGCTTCTGGTTTTTGCGCTCATCTCCCGGAACTCAACACTATATGACAGCTAGTTAGTATGGGCAACAAAGTGATCGAGTTTGATTTGCGTCAACAGCGGTTCTTTTTCCTTCGACGTAGGTTTTATAACTCGCAAAAGATCTATCAGCCAAAAGTTTTTGGTAGCGAGTGTCTCTGACTCTTAACATCCCAGGGTGATGGAACTAAAGCCACAAAATCCGTTGTAAATTAATCATATTTCGAATTCGCATTTGGGACAAGACACGGTTTCAAGGAGCCAAAATCCTTCTATCACACGAGATGGTACAAAAGCACAAAAGCATATTAAGTGCTTTATTTAAGCTTTGTCGCGAGCCGCACGATGATACCTGCGCTGTATACTATTGTGGACGTTTTGGTCGAACGTAATTGCACAATGTTCCTGAATCTAGTAAGTTATTTAAGGCGTCGCAAAGTTTAGAATCGCCCAGATTGGCAGCCAACTACCCTACTCGGGGAGCAGGCCCATCTCAAATAGAGCTTTTTCGTTTGGGCTGTGACACATCAACCTCAACCTCAACAGTCTCGAAAGCAACCAAAAAATTGGTCTAGTAGACGAATTCAGCCATCTATGATTTGACGATTTCGCGCGATGTGTTCGTTGGTTGATCCCAAGTTAAACTCGTCTTCTTAAACCGTTTAGAGGAAAGTAAGCAAGCAGTGGACCGTAAGTGAGTGTCAAATCCTTGAACACAATATGACCTGCTGAAGTCCACATGTTTGGTAATTTGCTCATTTCGGAACGACTATAAGCCTTCATGGCATGTTCTTCAGATTCCAGATCCATATACTCGTTTACACGCTCGACTGCAATCATTTGAAGCTCTAGGAAGCATTCAGGATGCAGCTTTATGATTGTGCCACCCGTGTAACATTTATAGATACCACGATGCCAGTATTTTAGGATATTGCTTTCGTGTTTCTTTGTGTGGGTGGTGAGCTCCATCGACTCACGCGAAGTAGTATAGACGCTACCTCCCGCACTCCAGCCGACACTTTCTGCGCGGAAGTTGTGGCCATCATTTCCTACGACACTTACCGCATCCACAAGAGAGGTTGTGTTGACGCAGAAAACCTCAACAAAGTTACGCATACTTGGAATCCCTCCATGGAGTTGGTAACCGTGATTGACTCCGAGAGAGGGTCGACAGCGATCGTGGCGATGATTCGCCTCTTTTGATGGATGGACAAATTTCTTGATTGTATACGATACGACTAATCAGGAGGTTCTAACAGGTCCATTTGGTTAATCGCTTGTCGAGAACAGATATTATGCACGTATGAAGCCAGTCTGGCACGCTTCCGCGTAGTTTGAAGAGCGCAAGCGGGAATACATCTAAAGCATAAACAGGTTCATGACCTCATTTGCTTCTTTACCCAGCAAAACGAAATCCCTATTCACGCCATCGTAAAACTTATCGCTGAGCACAGGCTACGGTAGAGCCGACAGTACTTCCATCACTGTCAGTAAAAGCATAGCGAATATGCCTTCAGTAATCGCTTTGATAAAGTCAACAAAGTCAGTCTCAAACGCTCTTTTTACATATTGACCATAGATGAAGATTTGTGCTTCCAGACAAGCGGCGAACGATAACCTTCATGCTGGATATAAGACAGTGAAATAAGCTCAATTTTAAGCTTCGCGTTATGAGGATTCAGGAGACCAAGTACATAGTTCATAATAAAAGCAAAATTTGAGAGGGCAAGTATTTGCAATGATACCGGCGTCTTAATCATTGGCACTTGCGAATTTAGTACAACTGGAAGGTCGTTGGTGAATCAGTGGGCAGGTTTTGATGAGCGACTTTCAATTCGTGAGATATTATGATCGTTAGCGTTACATAAAGCTCTGTCGATTATTGTTCTATTTGCAAAAGCTGGGAATTGTATATCTCGAAGCAGCCACTGAGGGGTTTTGTAAGGGGTGTTTATTTTCATATGCACGAGAAAAAGGTTCTTTGTTCTCAATATGCATCGTCAAACCACAACGTACAACTGTGCAACACTAGGCTGGTAACGTACTTTTATATGAAGGGGTGGGTTACACAAGATGGTGTAACCATACAAAGGTATGGTTACACCTGAACAAGAAGCCACTCCGTTGATGGACTGCCAGTAATTATGCATTTTGATTAGGTTTGCTATTTGATTAAAAAAACTATACATTTAGATATAGGTAGCTCTGTCGCAAATAAAACACAGAGATAAACTTTACATTTTGAACAGAAGAGTTCATTTGCTTTGGATAAGGTTGTAAGTGCTCTTGGAATTAGCGAATTGCGATCCGCAACACTCGTACTGGTTCTTGTATAGAACGTAATGTCGGTGACCTTAGCTTAGCTTCCTCTAAGCATAAAAACTACGGCAGCCCCCTGCAAGAACCAACATAGCCTTTTAGAGTGAAGTCGCTTGAAAAAGTAAGCTATAGTTTACACAGCGTGAAATGAACGGGGCTGGAAAAACAATAAACTGAGTGAATATTAAGCAAAATCCGTTAAGACTACATGTATCGGAACGCAATCCGTGTAAACTTAGCCGATATCTAACCGTAGAAGATGCAATTACTATTGATGGGGCAAATCGCATTTAAACATTGATTAAGTGGCCAGAATTTGCGCCAAAACAAATGCCCCAATATTTAAGTTGCTACTGAGTGCTTTTGCGCAACTTTGCCATTAAGCACGAGAGAGCTGGTATTCTAGCTATTCGGTATTCTAAAGGTACTTTTAGCACCAAGATTAAAATAACTCGAATAACACGCAGAGAGTTGTTGCGTTCTTTTACGAATATCTGTGTGTTGTTTTGGCTTGTCGTCCATTTACTTTATCGTTCAAGGTTGCGGCGTATTCTTAGTAAGCCACAGCAGAAGGTGGCTTTGTTAAACCGCGGAGATGATTTTATGTTGACGGCATCGACAAGCTCAGAAAGTAAAGTGACTACGCCATTAACCCAAAAGATACAATCAGAACTCGGATGGAGCAACTCACGGAAGTGCTGACTCAGCAGCCCTGTCATATCGTGAATAAAATGAGTCATCCTTTTCAGTTTCAGTGCGTGGCCATTGCCATTTGCAGCTTCAGCCGCTTCTCACCTCTACAGGTTCTTACATAAAATAACTGTGACACCCACTCAATTCCACTTTCTACCAGTCTTGACACAGGAGTCACAACCTGCAGCTGTTCTTCACCGTCCAGTCCAAGATACATTTTGGTGGCCTGGACATACAGTTGGCGAGAAAGTTACGCTTCAGTTTTGCCCTATATCTACATGCAGCATGCAACATTTAAAAAATCCTACACATCAACAATTTCTTACGCTATTTTCTTCTTGTATTGTTCATATTTCGTATTGGACTTTCTTCACTTAAGCCTATTTAACTTCGGATGACATATCTGCTGTTTGAGATCCCATACTTAGAACGTTGCTCATTGCCGCCAGTCTCTTTCTGCTAGCCGGGTACGATCTTAACTTTTCCCAGACGGATCGAATGCTCCGCTCCCTCAATTTGGACAGAAAGAACCGGACAATATTTATCTACAGTTTACACAAGAACGTAATTCAAAAAAATCCTTGGTCTCCTTTTGGCTGAGTCGTGCGAGCGCTTCTCAGATGTGACTCTGCCATGCGTTAACAGCCTCCTCTTTTATATATAAACTGAGGGTCTGTCGCCATTAGAGTATATCAAACAGGGTATATGCTGCCATATGCATCGCGCCGTCGCCTCTCAACCTGAGAGAAAACCTCAAACGTAAATCGGTGATGCGTCATGAGAACTTTAGTACGCGATTTGGATGAGAGTGATGATGATGGGACTCTGTGAAGAAAATTACGCAGTAAGTCTCGCACAATGTGTTAAATGTACTTTGTAAGACTAAATTGTGTGAAAGGTCTTTGTAGAATCAATTTTAGCGAGCTTTTGAATTGTGATTCCCGAGAAAAAAGTAATTTTAGCTCTGGCGGTGATCTGAATGGTATTCAGTGAGCTCATCTTCTCTGCGACAGTAAATCCAGAGTCTGAGAGTCAAAATTCCCATTAATGCGCCTCGGTCGAATCTGGTAGCACTTCTTGTCAACAGGACTAGACCAAATTGTAACCTCTGTTGGAAGGAGCAATTCACTAAAGACACAAAATCACGTCCGCCACCGCATGTAGCTGTCCGGTTCGTATAATAGTCTCAAAGGAGCAAGAAAGAAAGATTATCATATTAGTAATATCAATCCGTGACAGTATGATCTGTATTGGCCACAATGGCTTCGAGCCGAGCGGTTGAGCCATGAACTTAACAAGATTCTATTTTTCTCATGGCCAGTAGCTACATGCCGATAGATTTTTTCATCCTCAAGCAGACGAGCTGCAAACGCTATAAGTCTTTTTCTTGCTATCAGCAGCAGCTCGACGTAAAGCTCAGACTCTGGCATAAGCAAAAATGTTACAGATGTCGTGGAATGATCGGCTTGATAAAAAATGTCATGACAGAGGCGCATATGAGGCTCACTTCAAAACCACTTTATTCTTGGTGTAATCTATTAAGAGGTTGTGAGATGTCCGCATACTTCGTGCTGACTATGTGGAAGTAGTTGGTTCGACCATGTGCAACCGGCATTGATACCTAGGTTTTGGACACATAACATCGATACTCTTCAGGCTGAAGTTGACGCTCAAGGCAACTCGATGAAGTACCATGATGGAGTACCACTACAATGGAATAGTCATAAGTTCGGAGTTGTAAAACTCATAGTGGAACATTAGGGCTGAGTGCCTCACGCAACACGGAAAAAGGTCGCTACTCTCATATAAAAATTCACATGTCACTTCAATCAGGCCTAAATTCGTTTACTACACATTCGATTTGAACAAGTTCAAAGTACGGAGTACGCGAGAGGGCCCGGGCTCGGTGACATAAAAACGGACTCTGGATCTATCCTCCATACGCTTGTCAGTGCCGTCTTTAAGAGTCAGAACAATCTTTGTGTAAGATGTTATTCTACTTGTAAGAACTTGTCATCAATTCGACGGCTGATTCTACAACTGCATTATCTACAAGACTAGAATACATGAAGTTCACCGCGGCAACAAGACAAGCTTGAGACCCTTCTGTTTTAGTTGGTCCCGCGAGGGTAGCATCATTTGCCGTCGAGACCCGAAGGCTTCATGCGCTGATGAGACACATCAAGCAAATTCTAAATCAGTCGTCAGCGGAAGCATACACGATTTCCATATAGCGAGACCTCTATCACGTCAACGACAATGATGGATAGAATGTTCTGGAGTTCAAAATGATTTTGGACTCACTCTAGGCAACAGCACATAGTAACATATATATTTCGTAATAACGCTAATTGGGCATATCTAACGCTAGTTGGACATATTTAATTCAGATTTTCATACAAAATGTTCCCCGAGCAATGTACTGCAGGTTATTATTGATTACAATTTATGTTCCTCACAGCCATACTTTTAAGACCATGATCGATATCAGAAGTAAGATATTATGCGCAAACAAGTCAATCTCATCAAAATCTACTGTCTGTATGTGATTTAGATTCATCAGACTGACTTTGCCGTCTATCAAAATCTTCTTAGCGAGCACGCCCATCAATGCCTTCACGATCGACAATCAGAATGCTGTATGCAATACAAGTAGTGCTAAAGCGGATACAATAGTTCATGGTTACAAAAGGAATCACTGAAAAGAGGTACGACTAGAATATGAAAGACGATGGCATTGCATTTGACAACTTCGCAGACTGCAATGCAGGAAGAAGCTGTGCGTGCCTTGAAGATTTTGTCAGCCGCAGTTCATTGATTATAGAATTTCAGAGGAAGGACTGCATACCAATTGTCTAGTCTGGACTAAGCTCTCGCTTCTGTAACCGCATTCTTATTTTTGACTAATACCTTTACAATCAATGAGTTTTTCGAAGTCACTTAATTTTCAAGAAATGCAAGGGAGGCTTTACACCGTAAACGATCCAGCCGCTATGACGCATCTACAATCTGCTTATAACAAAACATATTGTGGCTAGAGCAGGATAATATTCCTCGCACACAAGTTTCCGGTTTAAATGACGTGCTACCAGCCCGTATTTCTCGACAATAGAGAAAAGTGCGTTAGCTTTGCTTAAGAACACGCCAATTTATGCTACAACGGTTTTAACGGGAGTGTGTTTTATTTACCCAAGATGCTTTTCGCTTGATTTAATACTGGGGATTAGCATAGCACATTTCCATTCTTCGCTTATAGTACGTACGCGTTTTGACAAAAAAACGATGCAAAGCTGGAACTTTATGCCCCGGTCTTTTTCAAATCGACATGATAAGACCAATGTTTGACAGATCCCACCAATGTACTGTAGTATATAGTTTTCTATCATACTACTGTACCTCTAGCGACAAGAATGGTTGCGACACAGTTGCACTTACTCGATTTTTTATCCTACATTGAGTTTACTATAGAGAAGAGTACCAATGATGGTTTGCATGGAGCCTACCGCCTATTTAACCGGATCTTGCATTTAATACTGGCGATAATGCAATCAGCGACGTTTAATCAATCACAACGCCGCAACTTTTAGAAAGTCAAATGTTCAATATATACATATACCGCACACTGTTGATGCGTCTTTGGCCCGTCTCTCGAGAATTCTTAGCTGGTCTGATGTCTAAAGGCTGTATTTAGTATATTAGCCATCGTACAAAATGCCATTTTCAAACTATTCCAGCGAGAAAAACAGATCTCGAACTTCATATCATGGCCAAGTCGAATGTGATGGAAAATATTGTACCGGACCACATTCAGTTGTCAAAAACTATCTGTCAAGAGCTCACTGACATGGCAGACGAGATCATTGCCGAAACTCTCCATACGTACGAAGCCTTTGTCGCTAATGGACGCCAATTACCGAGTGATCAGTGGAAACACGCGAAAAGCAAAGAGAAGGTCCGTGTCTTCCGCTCGCGCCGTGGAAAATCACAAAAAATTGTTCACGAGACGAAATTGAGTCGTCCACGACTCTTGTCAGCAGAAGAATTGGAAGAAAACCAACAAAAAGCAGCAGCATGTGGACGATTGTACGCATATGACAATCCAATTTTAGGGAATAACTGTAGTGTCGCGAGTCATACGGCTAGTGTCGGATCTTTTACGCTTTTTGAAGACAGTGTGCTGGCTAAAGTCAAGCCTCTTCATATACCCCTCATCATTGCAACGGGTGAAATTGTTGGCAGTTTGGAAGATGTGGCATATGGTGGTTTAGCAAACACAGAACACGCATGGATCGTGCGCAATTCATATTGTCACAACGACTTTTTCGACGATCGAAAAGTTCTAGCAGTCCTCCAATCACCTAGTAAAGAGGATCCTTTCCGCTCCGTGACAATTAAATGGGGAACTGCCGACTTCAATGCACTTACAACCCGTCGAGATGTTGTATATATCGAGTCACAAGGAATGGCTTTTGACTCTGATGGTGAACGAATCTTTTACTACGTAATTCATTCGATTGAGCTGGACGATTGCCCACCACTTGACTTGAGTCACAATATCATCCGAATTCAACTATCCATTGCGTATGTCGCGCGTAAATTTAATGATTCGACCGTTGAAATGTTTGGTCGAGGCTTTGTCGATCCACGTGGTGACATGGTTGAGAGTTATGGCATCATGCTGCTCGCCAATAACATTTCTGCATCTGCTAGTGTTGTCGAGTGCGCTACTATGAAAAAACTAAGCTATCTCATGATGCAACGTCGTCGCAGTGATGCATCTGGAATCAACGACACTAGAGATTGTGATGTGTGTCATAAGTCTTTAAGCAAGCTGGGGAGTCTACTCAAGTCTCCTAACGGATGTCCGGTTTGCCGTCGGGTGACGTGTAACAAGTGTAGCGTACAGAAGAAGCTTACAATTGAGGTGACGACAGAAGTTACACAAAAGAGTTTTACGTTCTGTCTACCATGTGTTCTAGAGGCTAAGGAGATGTCGGCCTGGAAGGTCGCAATTGATGACCTTAGGACTTGAATATAGCTGCGTCAAAGTTTACTTTTAAAATATAAATTACAATGCTCTTATTGGTACCCTTAAGAAAAATTTACTCGACAATCACACTTTAACAAAAGTTTTTTTTCATATTTGTTTAATTGTCAAAAAGTCAAACTTATGTGTTGGCTAAGAAAAATATTAAAAAGACGTCCCAAGAAGATTGGCAACCTCATTTCATGTAGATCAACAATAATTGGAAGACCATTTCGTTTGCTAGTCTAACCTTTCAAAGCTTCAACCAAGTTGTCAATCGTGATAGTTAAGAGTAGAGGTAGTATGCACCCACACTTTAAATCGTAACTTTTTTTCCGTACAGATCGAAAATTGTACTATCTCGTCAGCAGACAAGTGTACTCACCTAAAAAGGCTTTACGATGCTTTGCTCTCAAAGTATGTTGTGCACTTTGCGAGACCAACATTGACAAAAAAGTGGTTGGTGCAAATAAATTTTTAGTTTTTTGTTGATTAGAATGTAGTTCAAAATCTGCCAATTCAGTAAAGGACTCACAATGTAACGTGGATTATAATAGAGGTTACCTGAGGATGTTGATTAAGCTGATGCTTTGTGGCTGATGTACGATGGAATTTAGATGACGCACCGTGCTGGCATTGTTACTCATTCAAAGCGTGGTAAGACCTCATATTTAGTATTTTCAAATTGCGTCCACCTACATCAGCAGTTTTTTTAGCTACGTCAGTGGCTTCTTATAAAACGACAAGACTCGAAGTTGTCAGTAGCATACCTGCCGAAGACAAATCTATAGGCCAGCGAAAGAAGATCTTGCCATGATATCTCCAAAAGTCATGGAAGAAGAACCAGGTAGGGTGTTTCTTGGTATTCCTCACAAGAACTTTTACTATTAACATCGCAAGTATCGGCACAAGAGAAACAGAAACTGGGAAAATCTTACACGTCTCTCAACTCCAAGCTACCCTCTACTTTGTATATTTTACATTCATTATGAGTTTCATGCTGACATGTGATTTCATTTTCAAAGATTGGGCGATGCAAAAAATGCCTCGAGGCAGTTGACAGACGTTTCCCAGCCAATATTCATAATAAATATGCGGATGCAATAATGATCTTTATACAGACTAAGGCGATTACGCTATTTATATTCCATCACCGTCTGTACAGTGCTTGTTGCTTCCGATGCTTACAATGTGACATTGCATACAAGTTCAAACTGATTTATCTTTGCTTGAATTTAAGTCATGCGCGGCAAAATATGAGGACATCCGTCTCGATTCTATTGCGGCAAGCAAATATACTGCTTCTCCTATAGGTCTACAACTCAGGAGAGAGTGAGACGCTGACAGCTGCATGAGCACAACAACCACTTTATGAATGAAGTTTCTAATAGCACTATTCGTCTCTATGAGCCGTCGAATTGGCTGCGGTTTCATCCAATTAAGGCCATGCCTGGCTACCGCGCAGTGCAAACTTTATATTGCAAACCTTACATCCCAACCAATGGACCAAAAAGCGACGAGTTTGGCGCTTATTTTCTCGCTAAGAAGGATTTGATGCCGCCATCCTTTCTCGCTAAGGAGGATTTGATGCCGCCAACTTTCTCGCCAAAGCTAAAAATTCCAAAAACCCAGTTCAAAAAATGTTGTGAAGTAGTGAAGAAGGATCATTCATCAGTCTGAAGATATAGACATCAAAAAGTCTAACTATCATGCGGAGACATCTACGCTAAAGGAATGCCTCGTTGTGTCATCCCCAGCGATTAGCAAGCGAATTTATTCGAACATCTCAATGGAGCACTGCACACAAATATTGTATAGGGTACGCACTCGCACTATTGTTCGTCAGGCTACCGATGTTTTAGTAATGGAAAATCGTAAGGAAATGTACGTATTATCTACAATAGTAAAACTCTGAATTATGGATTGTACAGCTACAGGAGCCCTTATTCACTTATTTAAAGTACCATTACTTTGATACCGTACGTAGTATATCACCACGGTACAACTGTGGGGTACCTTTGAGATTTGTTCTAGCAGAATTAAGTACTTGGCACAGGAGAGGATTCTCTGTGTGATCTTCTCTGCATTTGTGAATGATGAGAATAAAAACTCCGCTAGTCGATATCGTTTCTATGCAAGTTCCACAGTAAGCCGATTGCTCTTGGTAGCACTGGACTTGGTCCCAGTCGTGCTATCTCCTTGAAATCAACTTGATTTCTCACCACATGCGGCACGACATGAGATACTGCACTAGCGAACGAGACGAAACAAGTGTATTTTCGCAATGATTACTGAATTGACACAGTATTAAGTGTTTTTCCTTCTGTATGATGACTATAATTGATTTTTGGTTTATTTACACACCGTTTTTCGGCACTACCCAGATAAATCAATCAAAACGTTAAGAACATTCATTTGATTTTCTACCTGAAATAAAATTTTATCTAATGACAATGACAAAGCGTTGAATTTGTCGGCGGTTTGACGATTCGTAGTATCAGGCGAAGCAGCAATTTGTTTGCCAGATGGTTAGATGCGCAATGTCGATACAGGTAACGATAGGAATAGTAATCTTCTCTGGTTGACAACATGGTGTTGACGCAATAATGACGAAATCGACTTAACAGGG